ATATATCGGGGAATAACAATTTAGGGAAAAAACGGCCGAACGGTTTAGCCGTTACCTTTGTTCATAGACAGACAGACGTTTTGCCGTTAATCGACTTTTCGATATCAAGGACTCACAAAACATGGATTCTGGCTATACCACGTGTTAAAGGATTTTTTCTAAATTCAACGACTGGATTTATCCACATTTTCGTTCATAGAAGAGTTTTCTGCCGAAAACGCGCCTTGTTTTCGCGCAGCAATACATAATTTTCTCGTCTTAAGAAGTACCTTCCTCGAGCGAGAAAGTAAAAAGTAATAACTTTCAACAGCCACACAGAATTATGTTTCGCATCCTTGAAACATTGAATCATTGATACATTTCAATTTATATTTTTACAACACAATTGAATTGATTTGATTGCAATTCCTGGAATTTTAAAAGCATAAAATAAAGTAAAATAAATAAATTCCGTCTGTAACAAACGTTGAGTGGATCGGGTGATCTTGCCGGCTCCAAGCTCAGATAAAGGAGGAAGTTTGGCGGATCAGACTATCAATATCCGTCGTCAAAGTGATAACGCTCACAGAACTATACAGAACCTCGGACATCGACCGGTTAGGACACGGTAATTACAAAGGGGTATTAGATGGAAAGAAAAGGGGAAGATAACGACTTGGAAGTGGAACAAAATCTTGGCGGAATAAAGAGCAGGAAATAATAAAGGCACTCGAAGACAAAAGAAATAGATATTTGTAGCATTTCTGAAACAAAAAGGTAAGAGTACGCATAGAATAAATTAGTACACATAAATGAAAGGTAAGTGTACACATAAAGTGCCACCCCTTAAAGCCAGGGAACCAAAGCCAGCGTAAGAATACTCCTGCATACTAAGTTTCAACATAATATTGATCAAGTTGATTACATTGACGAAAGGTTACTGAAAATTAAACACGGGATTGATAATAAATGTCGTATACATTTTGTTAGTGTGTGTGTGCTCCCAATATTACAAAAAAGAGAAGAAAGAACGATCTTCTATGAAGAACATAAAATTAAGCCCAATCGACAATACCATTAAGTCCAACTTCATAATAATGGATAACTTCAATGCAAAGATTGGGTATCGTCCAATCAATAGAGTAAAAAAACCTTCCATGAACCAGTAAGGAATGATAATGGTGATTTATGTGCAGGCCCGTGTGCCCAAAATAATCTAAGCATTCACAATGTACTCTTTGACCATGATTTTCAATACATTTAAATACAAATGCACAGGGTTGACAGTCGTTGATAGACTATGTCGACAATTCATACCATTATACAGTTTGGATGTTCGAACTTTAAACTCTGCCAATATAGGAAGTGATCAGTGTCGTAGCTAAGAGCTGGACAGATGGGCGGCTGCCAGGGGCGCAACCCTCAGGGGGGCTTCCTTTGCAGACCCACAGCATGTGAACCGCTGGGGCACAAGCACACAAAATTAAATATTACAACACATGGACCTATCAACGATATAAAGAACCTAGTTTCTTTCTTTGATAATCTGTACCGCAACAAGTCAAACAAAAAATTAAAATATGTTGCGAACTCCCATCTACAAAAACCTTGCAATTGATTACGATTGGGAACGGCGTCCCTATGCTAACACAACATCTGTACCGAACCCTAAATAAAAGATTTAAGAAAAACAATTCGTGACAGTCATTTAAATTTTCGGCACTGTGTGCTTCATCCCAAATTTGGTCAGCCACATCTAGACGGTCTCTGCGGCATTTTCTGCGGAGAAAGTGTTTTTTTCTCTCGATAAATTGATAATTTTTCTACAGATTTAAAAGAAACTATTAACTGAAATAATTTATAGTAACTAAAATTCAAATATGGTTTAAATGCCAAAGATTTGTGTTTAGAGACTGAAAGCTGCAAATATGAAACAAAACCATTCTTGCCCGTCTTAAAAAAATGCAGATTACATTGCATAATAGTGCATTATGCAGATTACATTACAGTGAGTAAGAACTAATTTTATACTTAAATGTATACATAAGTTAAATATAGGTTATATTTCCAAAGTTATCGTGTTGTTCCTCTTTCTAGAAAATAAGTCTTGGAGGCGCAAAATTCAAATCTTGCCAGAGGCGCTCTGTCGGTAAACATTCTTTGAAATTATACAAATTAAGGATGAAGGGTCCAATGAGAAAAAAATGAGACCGAATATATGGAAAAAACTTTACATACAATCAATTCAAAATGAAAGTATAAAAATGAAAGTATAAAACAACTAATATCATACTAAACGTTCCAATTAGTAGTGCATCGTTGACTGTTGGAGACAGTACTGATGACGAGCGGGAGAAAATAAAAAGCAACATCATTAGAGCCGCGGAAGAATCAGCGGGGAAAGAAGAGTTGTAGTCATTCCACCTCGTAAATATAAAACACTGGATCACAGAGAAAGTGAAAAAATAGTGAAGAAGAAAAAAGGACGCATTCTCACGATATATATCACCTCAAAGTCTAGACGATAAAATACTATACAAACACGAACTAAGTACAGCAAATCTAACAAGAAAGTAACTAGTGGTGCTCTACAGCACATACCTTCTCGCCATATTACAGTGTTATCGTTATATACGACGGAACGCTCATATATATATATATATTTGTAAAGAGAAATTACGCGAAATCTACTAACTTTTACAAAAAATTGTACATGACCTTTAAAGAGCTAATTTTATACAACAGACTTCGTCTGAGGTAAAAATCTCTATCTTCAATTTTATTGTTTTGAATATTTTTGATTGATTTTTTTTGTTGCAATTTTCGAAAAGAAACGGGATCCCGAAAATGGGACTAGCACCACCTCTTTTACCGTCTCTCATTACATAAGTGAAGAAAATGTAAAGAAAACACTGTTATTCTGATAGAATACATTATTTTCTTATTTTTTCAGTCATCTAACATAGTGATACGTTAGTGAAAAAATTAAAATAAAAAAATGTTTCTGGCTACAGAACGTTGTGCGTGATGGGACGGGAACTAAGAATACGTTCAAAATTATTTTTATGTTAGAGTAACTACTTATATGTCATTTGGTTTAGAGAAAATATTTACCATCTTATGCGGGGGGACCGTTTGCCTCCCCCAATAAAAGATCCTAAATACCGCTTCTGTTCAAGACTTGGTGTAAAATAAAAGCTACGCTCAAATATGACGTAGCTCACCAAATCAAGTATCATGTGCTAACTGTATCGTAAGAAATGCATCGAATGTTTATTAAAAATTGGCAAGAAAAAGTTATATAAAATATGTTTGATAAAAAATACTAATATTAAAATAATTTAGGATAACACAAGTAATATTTTAAACGTGTGCCTTGAATTTGAACAAAATTTTTGCTCAGGAATTTGCAAACGTTTTTTTAAAAAATAAGATAAAAAAGTGAAATATTTATACATATTTTTATTATAACTAATACATTGAAACTGATAAAATATTGATAAACAGGGGAGTACGGCAAGGCTGCCCAGTATCACCCACACTTTTTAATATTTATATCGATGACATTATCCAAAATTGAAAGAAAATAATTTACAAAGGTATTAAGATATCAAAAGAAAATATTTTAAATATCTTACTCTACGCAGATGATGCTTTGATATTCCAGGAAACAGATGATTTACAATATGCATTATTCCACCTAAATCATTTATGCAAAAAATACGATGTTGACATATCGAATGAAAAAACAAAGGTGATGGCATTTTGGGGAAAACATTTAATAAGATCAATAATTATTTTGGAGAAAAAAAACTTAGAGCAAATTTTCAATTTGAATTACTTAGGTTGTCAAGTCGATCAAGATACCAATAAAGATATCAACATTAAATAGGCAAAGTTTCAAAGGATTTGTGGTACTATACATAACACACTAAAAAACAAGACACAAGAATAAAGTTTTATAAGACCATGGCTCTTCCAACTCTTCTATACGAAAGCGAAAGCTGGGTACCAACAAAAAAAATTGTAAGCAGAATCCAGGCCGCTGAAATGAAGTTTTTGAGGAGAACGCTAGGCTGCACGAAAGAAGATCATATTCGTAATGAGAAAATCAGAGAAAAATTAAATGCTGAAGAAATTGGAAGCAAAATAATAAATATCGATATAATTGGTATCAGCACACGCAAAGGATGGATGACCCAAGACTACCTAAATTAGCTTTACTCTACCAACCGCTTGGAAGAAAAGACCCAAAAAACTTGTGAAGACGGAACAGGCTCAAGCCTAATCCATGAAGTGCAGAAGAAGAAGAACAAATACATTGAAGAATTAATACGTTAAATTATATCAGGTTTTGGTTATCTATTTCCATTCCTTACTAACATTTATGGGACAGTACTTATGAACTTTTTGCGAACGATTATTAAAGTTTAATGTAGGTAATATTTCTTTCGATGATAATAATTAATACTATTTTCTAAAATGAATATTTATAAAGCCGACACCATAAAAACATACGGAATGAGTCACTTCTACTCGAATTACACAGGAAACCGAAATGCTTGGCAATGGCACTTTCTTTTCATATCCGATGAAAGGGTACGTAAATCCAAATGTCTCACACATTTCATTTTATTATAAATTATCACCTTAGCATCAACGCTAAGATCACGCTAATATTTACTTCGAACCATATTCAAAATGAATAGATGGTGACGACGTAGTATGATAGAACGGAGCTTCTTTAAATTAAATTTGTGAACGAGATGTGCAGCCAGAATCTAAACAAGCCGAAAGAAAGCAAATATCATTGAATATAACAAACGTAATAAGAAACACAAACCTTGGTATCTGCATAAACAGTCAAAACTTACGAATTCTCTAGGAATCGCTTACACACGCACACACACCAGCGCTTGCTGCCCAACACTGCAAAACACTTTCCCGCCACACGATGTGACGTCGTTCTGAACATCCCGGCCAGAGAGTATAATATGGTCCCGACCAGTCTCGACGCTATTCCAACCTCTTTGCTTCACCATCCTCAAAATGGCGGGCAGAGCTAAAGATTTGATCGCCGCAGATGTTCAGAAACTGATTACACTTTTGTCAGGATTTTCTGTAAGTTGATCTTCTGTTCTAACACTATTAATAGTTGAACCATGCAAGTGATCATGTTGTTTGGGGTATTTGTTTACGTTCTACTTTGACAGCAAGTAAACATAACCTACATCAATTGTCAGTAGAAAAATGCTTGAATTTGAGTGGAAAATTGTCAGTGAATAAGTTTAAAAGTAAATTAATAGAATAAGTAAACGTTAATTGACATGCTATTTAAGCCACTTCTGATTATATTTTTTGACATTCATATTTATATTTCAATGAAAATATGATTTATGAGTAAAATATACATTGTACACAGGAAAAAGAAGATCCAGAAAATTTTGAACTTTGTGAAAAGTTTGCATATTCAAATTTGTTACATCATCGTTATCTGTCTGTGGATAGTCATGCAGTCCGTCGTTCAGTGTTTGGGATGGTCACAAAATTTATGATTCATGGCCACTTAGAAGCATCTCGCCGTTTGGACTGTTTGCTTAATAAATATATGAATTGCACTGTATTCAAAGATAAGGTGGGCCTTTTTTATTTTTAATATAGTTTTCTTGCATCTGTAATTTTAGAAGTGTTAATCCAGATTTCACATGTTTTTTGTAGGAAGTACAATGGGCAGTGTTGTTTTTACTTGTGAAATTGGCAGATAATCCAACAAGTCATATCAGTGATGAAAAATTTTCTGCACCGAAGGTAGAAGAAACTGAGGATGCATCAAAGCCTTTTGATTGGACTACTTATTCTCATTTGTGTGACTATCTCAAAGAAGGCAATGAGGAATTCAATACTAACTTCTGTTCTTCTGACAGTGTAAGAATTATTGTTGGCAGTATTATAGCAATGTTAAGAAGATTTTGAAAAATGGCAATTTAATTGTATATTCTCATGTTAGGAAGATTGGGAAGATGTATCTGATGATGAAAAGTCACCTAAGCCTGAAGACAGTGTTGAAGGAGTTTCTGAAGATCCAGAAGTGCCAAAGGTACCAGCTGTTGAGGAGAAAAAGGATACTGAAAGACAACAGTTAATAGAAGAACTTGGTAGGCAAGTTAATGCTGAAGAGTGGATATCTAATAATGTTCAGGCACCATGGTGGAGAACAAAACAACTTGCAGAAAAAGTAGAAAGTGTGTTTCCTTCTGCTAATTTGGCAAAGACATGGTAAATGTGTTTGCTTATGTTGTATTTTTGTCATTTAATTACTGTTTCATGGTGAGTCATTCTCTTGGCTTGCATTCAACTGTAATGTTGTTTTGGATTAGGGACAAATGTTGTGATGAATCCACATCTACAATAAGTGAATACAAAGTTGTTCGTGAAATATTATGGATGTTGCAAGCACCCACCACAACAACTCTTTTCCAAGAAGTCAATGGACAGTTTTCTATTCAATCCAATATCACAATTCCTAGTTTGACAAAGGTCAGTATATTTTTAAACAACAATTTCTTAAGCTCGAAGGTTGTTATCTTTGTAAATTAAATTAAACTAAATAGACATTGATAATATGTCAATTTCATATTGCACAATCATAATGTGTGTTTCTATCAAAATATATACATTATATGTTCATAGAAGAAAATTGTTTATTTTATGAAGTCCTGTGAACATTCTTTATTAGAAATTTAATTTAATTTTTTTGTGTTAAAGCTTTTTTCTCCTCCCCCTTGTGGAAAATTATTCCGAATGCAAATGAATACTTATAGGGCATTTCTCTAATTATGTTGTGTTTTAGGATTCTATGGCATGTTATTTAAATCCACTTTGTGAATATTTTAATATGCTATACCAACTGCAAAAGTTTCAAAAGGAAATATATCCATTGGATAGACAAAATTCTGGAGAACTGAATCAGATGTTGCCTCCTTACACTTTTGAATGCTATACATCTGCCATTATTGAATTTTTGAGAGAATTGCAAGAACTGGCTTGCTGCATTGAGAAGAAAGTTAAAGCACAAGGTAAGAAAGAAGCAAACTTTGAAAACACTTTCTAAACTTGCTCATATAGCTTTGTGAGAGAAAATCAGTTTATTGATAACAGCACATTTAGATTAAGACATTTGTGGATTGACTTTGTATTTTATTTCCAAATCGAAGTAAGCATTATCATTTTATAATACCAATTTTTAAGTGGTCCTTACTTTAGTGCATTATTTTGAAGGTATATAATACAGATTTATTTAGAGTATAGATAAGATATTTTTAAATATTCAATTAAGTGAACATCATTATAGTTCTTGTGCATTCATATTTTGTAAATATTGGATTCCTTCATTTTTCCCCAGAGGACATTTATACTCTATATTCATTAAACTTGGAATTAGCTCCCAAATTATCACAACTTCGTGCAGTGTACAGTGTTCATGTTACTGCAACTAATGGTTGGAAAACAGCTGAAAATTGGCTCAGTTCTGCAAGGTTGGTATATTTTTGGACATTAGTTGATTTCAAGATTTCTAGTTATTGAAAGAGATCTTTACTAATTATTACTTTTATTTGTAGACTTCTATCTGTGCTGTATTCAGAAGCTTTATCATGCATGGAGTGTGACACCCCGTGCATCCTCCTGAGAGTATTTTTGAAGTCATTTGGGCCATATGTAGATATGATTGATGTGTGGCTCACAGAAGGAAGGCTAGATGACTACAGAAATGAATTTATTATTACTAGGTATGATTGATTTTCATAAATTACATTCATTTATGAATGTATTTGATAGAAAAAGCGGTTTTGTGAGAGATAGAAGTCGGTTTTTGACATGTTTACTCACTCTTTTTGCAGAAGAAATGAAACAGACAATGAAAATTGGGGCAGCAATTTTGTAATGAGAGATTATGTGACTGAACTAAATTCAACTGGAATTCGAGCCTTACCTCTCTTGCAAGTTATCTCAGATAGAGTGCTGCATGCTGGACGAAGTATGCAGTTGCTGCAACAGCTTGATCGTTTGGATGACATGCGTTCCCAGCATTCAAACCATGGTAAAGTTTCTGCTTTGTGTTCTGCAAATGTATAAATATTTTTTTTCTTTTTTCTCTCCAGAAAGTTTTGTAAAAGTGCAAAAACTTAAACTCCATGATCAAAAGTTTGTTTTGTAGTGCTCTTTACAAAGTTAGTACTGTAGATTTTAAACAGTTTAGTTATCATCTTGGAAACCACATTTCCTGTTTCATTTCTGATTCCAGTTAAGAGCCTTTGGCTATGAGATGATTAGTGAAGTTTGCTGTATTTCAAAATCTTTGTAAATCAATATGACGTTGATTTTCAAATAGAAAGACGTGTGCAATTAAAGGGGATCTACATTCTTATACCAAAATATTTGTAGTAAATCAATTTTTGTTAAAAAGAGGAGACTGTTCACTTGTAATACGCATTTGTAAATAGTAATTTGTCCATAACATTTATAATATGCTAATGAATTTTCTACAGAAACTAAAATTGTTTAAGCAAACATTACCATGAGCTCTGGTTGAAATTATATTTTTATAAAACGACATTTTATAATTATATTATGTTTTGTAGACTGTGGTTATGGGTCTGAAAAAATATGTAGTACAAAATGGCAAGATAGTATGTACATAAATATGTATGAAAATAATAAGAATATGTAACCAATTTGTAAATGGGGATGTACATAATACTAAAATATATAGAGGAACTTATTGGGCATTTATAAAGAAACAAAATTTTACACCATTAAAAATTATGTAAATAAAATAATCATTAAACCAATTGTAATAATTGCTTATCTTACTGGATTATATTTTTTTAAATGATTTATCTTTGAGAGCAACGGTAAAAAACATGGGAACTCAGTAACCAGAGAACAATCGCTGTCACATTGTTTTTACAGTGTTACTGTCTGTGACATCCAATGCCCCTTGTAATAGAACAGATACTTTCCACACCTAAAGATAAAATTTTCAGCCCTCACACTAACTTTTCACAATATGCAGTGAACCCAAACATGTCGCGTGTTTCTGACCATGTTGTTATGTGGGCACCTTGCAATGTAAGCTTGCAATTATACCTAAGTGTAAGAAAAAATCTGCTGATTTTCTAATTTTTTTTGTAATTAAAATATTTTAAATAAAAGCAAAATGTATAAAATACATAATACAGTAGAAAATATGTAACGAAAAATTTAAATATTATTTTAGGAGAGCCCTGATTTGCTAACATTAGGATTTTAGGAACTAAACATAGAAATATAAATAATATGTAATTTCATAAGAATGTGGAGGCTAGTTATGAGTAGATTGCAATATTTTATAAGAATGTAAAATATTTTACAAGTATGCAATCTGCCTAAAGTGATATTTATTTGCCTGCTAAATAAAGGATTGCAATGATGGGATAGTGTTAAGAGATTAAAGAAAGTTAATTTTTAGTTATTTTTATTGAATTGAACATTTATGAGCAGGATTCAAATTTAAATGTTCGAATGTGAAACCCTCACCTTCTGATTATGTGTCGACTCCACTCAACATTAGAAGAATAATGAGTACAATCGTGAACCTCTTAATATTTTGTGGGGTTACATCCAGGTTTACTATTCATTGTTTAATTTGAGCTAAATTTAAAAGTAATCTTCCAAGATTCATTTTGAAAAAGTATGGGGCATTTTGCAATTATATGACTTAAGTGTTTTTAATTTCAAGAAATAGTTGTGTATCTTGTCTTTTACATTTACAATAAAATTAATGTTGGTGTCTGTTTATTGTAGGGCGCATGTATGCTGAATTTCTTGAAGCTCTTGAGAAAGAAATAGCACAAATGGTTAATAAGTCTACTACGACAGACATGGAAATTGTTGCTGTGACTGAAGATTTGGAGTTCCAAGGAACCAATTTGATATCTAATCCTTTTATATCTGAAGTTACCAATCAGTTGGAAAACTTGAAAGATAACTATATGATGCAGGCCTTCAAAGATCACCTATCATTCAAGGCACAACCTAACAAAAGAGATATAGAAAATCTAAGTTCAATAGGAGAGGTATTTCGAAAGTAAGTTTAAAAAAATAATTTTTTCTAAATCTGTTTATATTATTGCCTGAAAACCACAAATCATTTTTTAAAGATATGTTAATTAATATTGTTTTAATTTCTGTCTTAATTTTTTGAATGATATTTGTTAAATAAATTTTGTGCCATCTAATTTATACGCATCACTGTTAGTAACTCAGAGTAAAAAAGAAGATAAATTGAATTTGTACTTTTTGAAATATGATCGGACTTTTTATATTTATGGATTTTCTCTACCAAGAACAGAAATTTTACCTGCAAAAATCTTGTTTTCATTTTCATTAACCACATATGTACAAAGGAAAGAGCACACAGTGTAATGCTGCGGAGGAAAGTGGTGATTTTGTCACATCAAAACCAATATTGTAGGTCCATGATGTAAAAAACGTGGACCCATTTTCTCCTGTGTTTTATTATTATTTTTTTTATTATTAACATTTTAAATTATTATAGCTAAATGCACTCAATGACATAGCATAAACCTTATTTTGGTGTAACCTTTTAATTTTTTCCAAGATTTGAGTAGTATTATAATTCGAGAACAAATTTTCATGTAAATACACACCAGGAGAGATGACTTAGGTCATGAACTGATGTCACTGCAGTCCCTCTGACTGGTAGGTCCTCAGTTTGAGTCCTGCTTGTGGCAGGATTTTCAACATTAGTGTGTCATCTAGGTCAAATTCAGTCACTGTTTGGAGGAGAGTTCTAGTGGCCGGCTGCGCTGATCAGTAGTTTTCTATGGTTTCTCCAGTCACCACTAGGCGAATGCTGGAGCAGTACCCTACAAACAGGCCATTGATTATGCACAAACTTTTCTATTATTTTCTTGTCCTGTCCTCACCCCCTTACACACACTTACAGTACCACACATGCTCGAAGTTCAGTCAGGACCTTAGAGCTTATCCCGTCTGCGGCATCACCCCGCTGGTAGGAGATACCTGGTTGGGGAAAACTCCGTAACCTATGGTAGGTCCGCTCCTAATCTCGCCATACAGCAGGGGAAGACCACTGTCACCTCCCGAGCAAAAACGTACATTACATTTTCATGGCTAATGACCTACATAGTTGATGTGCCAGAAATCACTAATAATCTATCGGACAATCATGTAAATACATATTTTTACTGGAACAAGTAAGTCAATACATTTTTTTAGAGTTTACAAGACATTCTGAATGAGTTAGAACCATTTTTATTTTTGCATATTTTGTTACATTTTAATATATTTATGCATTGAAACGGAATATTTCAGATGCAAGTTTGCTATATATGTTATTGAAATCATCTCTCTTACAAAGTAATGTACTGCATGATCACTAGACTTTCGCCATGAATTGTGAATCTTACAGCCCTCTGCTTCTTTGAAACTGAGTACTCAGAATCATGGATGAGTGAATGTTTGTGAAGCAGAAGATTGTCAAGCCCTGCGTAACTCAACCATTAATGAACCAATATTTTTTACAGATTGTGTTATTGTGATTTGGGGGATGTTCCCTGTTAAACACAAACACACACCTATGAGATCCTTCACTCTCTATATAATACTTCTATTCACTTGAGCACTGGCTCTTTGTAAATAATATTGTATTATTGTTTGTATTAGGAATGTATTTTACATTTCAAAAAGAACTCTTTATTTGTATTGAAGACCAGTTTACAATTACTTCTGAAGAGATAGAAATTTCATTCAACCGCTCTGAATTGATTGGCAAAGATCCGAGCCTGATTGGCAAAGATTTATGTTTAGAAAATGCTTGTATGGAGTAATTTTAAACCACAATGAATTTTTTTCTTACATGTTTTGAAACTTATATATATGCATATATACAGTGCTTGATTTATAAACTTTTAGGTACCCGCACATGCCGCAAATTATTAATGTATTAATTTAATTGAAATATTTATAAATTTACAATATAATTTAATAACATATTCCCGGAATGCTGTTTCGACACGTTCTGTCAGAAATCAAACTCTGCGTATATATGTACGTATTCTTATAATATTATATAACCATTACAAATAATTTGAGGATGTACGTGTATAAAGTGTCGAGAAAGTTGTTTTACTCTGTGGCTGATGGTGTAGAGGTAACATAAATGACTTACCAAATCTAGGGACCTGAATTTTAATGCAAGCATGGACAAAAATTTGCTGGTTGGAAACACTTTTGCATCTTCATGTAGTATTATTGCATAGCCATTACAAATAATGCAGGAAAGTGTGTCCAGTTTTAGCATCACTAGCGTAAAGATGTAATACCCAAATCCTCTTCATATTTCTTCAAATAAGTTCACTTATTTTGGAAACTTAATTAGTGATTGTCATTGTCTTCCTATTCTAATATTTGGATGTTTTTACAGACTGGGAACCTATTCAACTTGTGGGCTTATTCCCATTAAACCTGTGATGGAACGTATTATTTCACAACTCATTGATGCAAAACATGCTGCTGCATGTTTTCTTGCAAAAACAATATTTTTACAAGAGTTCAATTTGTCTACTCATTTGGCTCTACTTCGTGCTATCTATTTAATGGAAGCTGGTGACATAATGCATCGATTCTGCATTTTCCTTTTTAAAGATGTAAGTCTTGACAGCTCCACTTGGTATTTACCATTTTGAATATTATAGTGAAGAATAAATATTTGTGTTATTTTATTGTTTGTAGGCAGAGCATAGTGTATTCTGGTCCAATTCCTACACAATGACTGCTGAACTGGAAGAATGCATTAATTTACGGTATCCTGATCACAGTTCAAAGTTTTCTGTCGTTGTTAGAGAAGATGCTAAATTAAATGGCACTCCCAGTGTAATGGATGAAATAAATATCAAGTACACTGTAAGTGTGTTGTTTCTGAATTTCTGTTATCATCTATTTGTCAAAAGTATGAAATAAGTGAACTCTTATTGACCCAATAGGTTGAATGGCCACTGACTGTCATTCTTTCTCCTACAAATATGGAATACTACAATGCAGTTTTCCAGTTTTTGTTGAAGGTCAAGTGGGCTTTATGGGCTCTAGAAGCACTTCGCTTCTCAGGTATGAATGGAAATGAATACACCTAATTTCTTATAAGATTTTTTTTTCATTTAATGGTACAGATAAGTCACTTTCTTACGTACCCTAATATAGTACAAAGTTATATAATGTTGCAGCAGGAAAATAGTTATTTTTCATCTGAAAAACTTGGATTGTGAATTCCTGATGCTAAGAAAGTGGAAATTTCTGCACATATGTGGAGTAAATTACTTCCTGTAATATGTAGTGTAGCCAGAATTCACCATTTTTGAGTCTTTGATACCAAAAAAATTCATTTAGGCAAAACATCTGTTTGTCTGACTGAGAACAACGCTAGCAGCTAACCATTCTCAGAAGTTTCAACAAATTTGTTATTCCTCAATAAATTTGGCCAATGTCATGGTCCCTTGAATTTGAAACTGTTATTTTGATTTTTGGGAAGTACTTCATTTGAAACTTCAATGGCATTTTCTAAGTTTCCTCCAAAATGCTCACAAATTTTTCTTTTTTTCTCAAATAAAGTAAAGGGTGCTTATAATAATTGCAAAGGTTCAATTGCTGTTAAATTCTTTGAACTTTCGAAAATTGTCAAGATTTAAAATTTTGTTGGCATCCCTCTCTACAATTGTAATATTGAAGATGAATTTTTTTCTTAATTAAATTTGTTCCTCAAACTTAGGTTTTAAATAATGTCATGTAAATGTTTTTGAAAATATTAATATTTTTCTTGTAATGTTAAGTTAAATAGTGAAAGTTGTATGCAGCTTTTGACAAATACATTATGCTTTACGTATATCACAGTAGCAGCCTACTAAGTAGGGCAACGAAAATACTTATTTATTTGCTTACTTTCACTAGAAGTTTGAATGGATTGACCGCAAACTAGAAATGGGAAGAACCCATCAAGGAAATATATTCTTACCACTGAATAAATTTACTTTCTTTCATCCCAATGAATTTTAAGTTTTCAAGTGTTCCAATTACACCACGTTTTACTCCTTGATAAATGCTTATTCATGAACTCATGTAGAATATAAAACTGACTAGGAAGTGGTGGACATATAGATATGGCAAACAAATTGTGATCATTTTCCACAGATCTGACAACTGTGAAAAACAATACCAGCACCACAGAGGATGCAGGGCTGCGTTGCCGGGCTCGCTGCTTGCAGTTGTTACGATTTTGGCTGCTTCATTCAGTGGGCTCAGTGCACACTTACCTCATGGGGCAGGTGCTGCATTCCCTGGGATTGGAGCTGGAACGTGATCTGGCTGCCGCAACGGACTTGGACACACTTCTACAGGCACACAACCGTTATGTTGCTCTTGTCCACACACATTGCCTTCAACCAAAGAGTAGTGATGTCATTAAAACAGCCATTCTTCAGGTAAGATTTCCCCAAAAGCATTGACTCTGACAGCTTGTTTATGGAGGTTAAGGAAGTATTTATTGGAGACATAAGTATTAAAGTATAAATTAGAGAAATGTTTATAAAGAATTACAGAACCTTGTGTATCATGTAGAGTGGCTACTCTGAAAATGCGTGCTTGCATGAAAACATTTCTTTTTGATTTTTCTTTCTTTCTTCTTTTGTGATAGCTTTTGTAATATACATTTTCACCAAAGTAGGGCATATAAGTGTGTGTTTGTGTTGGAGGTGGGGTATGTCAAGGAAGAGGAAGGAAATATCACACCCGGTCCATGGCTCGTTTGTAAGCGTACTGCTCTAGCATTCATGTGTTGTTGATCAAGACCATGGGTCCAAACCATGGAAAATTGTATTGAATAAAACTGTACAGAGTAATTTACATAGTATAGAGAAAGTTATGTAATATTGCAGAAAATCAATTTCAGGATATCAATAGAAATGAACTTTTTGGGATCCCCTGACGTTGAAAAAGTGTTGGTTGTTGTTGTTTTTTCTTTCCTTCAAAATGTCTGTTGGGATGTTCTGACTATTTGGCCACCTGCGAACAACATTAGTCCCTAAACGAGTTGTAGGATATTTTTCAAAATGAATATTCCCCTGTCGATCTAGCCCGATCCCAAGCTCTGTCGATTTGAAAAACATTCATTAATTTTTGGGGATGCTTCACATTTTTTGTTTAAATTTCTTATAAGAATAGAGTGAAATACTCTTATAAACATGGAATATTTTACTGTTATCTCTGAAATTTTGAAAATTACAAACATTTGAATTTTTTTCTACATTGTCCTACAACCACAATATTGAAGGTAACAATTTTTACTGCAAATGAAATTTGTTCGTCAGAATTAGTTCTTTCATTAACAGTAGGTAGTTTTTTTAAAAATTTTTGAGTGAAAATGAGTAATATTAAAAAAACAAAATCAGAATTTCTCAAAAATGACTCCAAATTTTTTTCTTCTAAATTTGTAGTAGAGATAGCACTAAATGCACTGTGTGAGGTAGCTCAGAGCATCAACTGATACCACTGCAGTACCTCTAACTATACTTTCAACCCTAGCTAGATAGCTATATCATATTCAGTCACTTTCTGGAGGAGAATTCTATTGGCAGGCTGCTCTTATCGGTAGTTTTCCATGGTTTCTCCGATCAATATCAAGCGAATGCCGGAGTAGTACCCTAACAAATAGGCTAAGGACCACTTAATCCTTCCTTCTTCTTTTTTATCCTATCCTCACCCCTTACTCGCACACACTTATGCTTTAATGCACTTCTCTATCACACACACCTGGGAGACTGGTTGGGAGCTTAGAACTTGTCCTGGCTGGGCTGTGCCTCATTGGTGGGAGATTCCTGGTTGGGGAAATGCCCGCTAGCCAACAGTAGGTCAGCACAGTATCTCACTATCCAGTGGAGGGGAATTACCACCACCTCCTGAGGGGGAGGATGCACTACACTTACGGGACTAATAACCTTGTCAGTTGATGTGCCCGGAATCAACAATCAATCAATCAAGTACTAAGTGCACAACCCTATGTATGTAGTAATATGATTGGCTAATGGGTGGGAGATGTTGGGAATATTCTAATTCTTAAACAGTTCCTAAATTTTCATAATATCTACTTTTCTAATATGGGGTTTAAATTGAAATGATGAAGACATGACAAGATGAATTGATCATTTTTAATCCCCCTCTTTTTTCTTAATTTAAAAACCGAATAGTTTTATAAAATATTCTCATGTTATTAATATTGTTAATATTATTGTTATTATTGTTACAAAATACAAGTATTATCATTATGAAATACTTATTTTTTCCAACGTTTTCCATTTTTCTCAGGGCCTGAACTTTTGAGTTGATGTGTTTTTGCATATATGCTGACGATATTTCCTCCCTTTCTAGTCTTCTTTAGGGGAAATTCAATAATACGTATGTAATCTTAGGTCCTTCAAATGTCTGTGTGAAACATTTAGTAGTACTGAATTACCTTTCACTGACTTAAACAAGATCCATCCAATTCTTTCTGTACCTAATTTGCTGAGTCAGAAAATATAATTTATCTAAATTTGAATAAATTCTTAGCTTTCTAATATATTTATCATTAACTTTAACACGTCCCTAACTTAAAATATATAAATAAATTTCATCTCACTCGTGAATTTCATTTCATCAATGCTGTGAGAGTATTCTGTTTTCTATCTACTCTTTCCTCCCTCGCTTACATTCCTGTCTTCAATGTGAAAAAACCCCTCATCCAAATTGTGTATGTATTTCTCTTTGAATGACTTCCTTTTCATTAACTATTGTTATTTTTATTTGTTTCATTAACTATTTATTTATTTGTTTATTTATAAGATTATACAAGAGCCATTTTGCTGCATTCTTTTGTTTTATAAAAGATTACAAAAATGTGTAAATTTTTGATATCTCTCTCACATGTTTAGTAATTACACGACTGGCAATTTGTTTATATTAATGTATTTGTGAGTACAAGTGCTTCAGTTGAAGTCATAAAGTTTCTCAAAAATTCAAGTTTTCTCTGAAAATTAAGGTCAAAATTCCGTATTTTCAAAAACACTCAAATGTCATTTTCTCAAAAATGACTCAAACTTTTTGTATGTATAGTTCTAAATGCATTGAATGACGTAGAGACAACTTTGATGATTTTTCCCCTTCACCCTAAAAAAAATTACCCAATGTTTTTTTGTTATTTTTTAATACAGTGAAGTCTGCTCATAAAGGAAGAGCACAGAACTCATCAGAATTTTCATTGAAGACAGTTTTTCGTCATGAGCCTGTTTTCAATATTTATTAAGCCAAATAAAATGCACTTTCTCACCTAGTGCTTCTCTCTCTTGTGTCTGAACATCATTCATTGTATAAAAATTTAATATCTTGTGGTTCAGGTCTTAATGTATACTTGCCAAATTCTTAAAGTAGCCCTTCAATTACTAAATGTTGATATAGCTGGTCAGTTCTGAAAGATGTGTAAAATGGCATTGTACTGTACTGTGCAGATGGTGCAGCTATCCTTGGAGTTGCGTGATTTGTGGTGCTTGGGAGTGGACGTTGTGTCAGATGCCAAGCTGATAGGCATGACTGAAATGTACATCAAGTGCCACTGTTTTCTAGGATCCGTGCTCCAAACAGCTGTTGAGAGTAATCGACTTACTCACTGTGAGTACTTTTTATTAACCCCTTTTTTCTTCTCTCTATTTTTTTTTTAAGGAAGTATAGCAATAATTGATTTAAGGCCATAGATTTTTGTGGCTGTTTGATTATTTGTTATTTTACAAATGTGTGAACACCTTTGAAGAGTCATCATGGGACCAACTGTTTTGGTCATTCAAATCAGCTGTTCATTTAATGATTTGTTAATACTATTGTGGTACTTAGTAATTAATACAAGTTTCAATCTTTTTTCTTTGAATTAGTCAACTAAGGAGCAGAGCCATTGCATGCAAGGGTGCTTATTTTTTTCTGTATTGTGAAATCCACCACTGTGTTCAATTGGTGAGTCCTTGGCTTTGTCCTTTTAATGTTGAAGTATTTCGACCATTAAAAGCATTAATATTATTTTATTTAATAGGTAATTATTAAAAGCAAATTAGCTTACTTGATCCTATGTGGCTAGGCCGAGGGCCTTTAAGACATTACAATACCTACATCCTTTCACATTCTAATCTTTCGAATTCTGGTATTCACCCCAAATGGTCTCTGCATCGCTTCAAAGTCGGGGAAAGAGACCATAAGGTACGGCTTAGGAAAAAAACTCCTGAAGGGGGAAAAACCTGCCGTCAGAAGCCGAATACATACTAATCTATCCGACGTTTATTTTAACTATTAATTTTCTTGCGCGGGCGTCCCGCCGTGTCCTTCCTGTGCTTGGCCTCCTCAGCACCTGAAATCAAACAGCACCACAGAAGATCATCTGCATCAACGCCTCTGCCCTTATATTTTTGATCCCCCCTTACCTTCACCCCCTAATGCGCTTATTACTATGCCAGTTTTATTTTATTTATTACATTGACCTGTTACTTACTAATTGACTACGACTTATTTTTTAACTGTTTACTAACTTTATATAAAATTTCTGATTAACTTACTCATTGTTAGCTTATTGACTTATTTATTTCTCTCCAGTCTAGGCTCTGCTCAAGTTAACCGGTGCTGTTTTCCCACTCCCTAATTTCAGTTTCCCTAATGGTCCGAACCTTAAAGCATTAATATACTTAACTACTGACTTACCAAACTGTCATGTAATTAACACAAATAATGTCTGTCCATGGGACATTTCTCACAAAATCCTAGCACATTTCCGACCCACAACATTCAGTGACTCCCCACAATGTACAATTATTCCCCACCAGGTTTTTCTACTATCCAATACTCTCTCACTTGTTAAAACAAAGTACCAGTGAAAGGGGCTCAGGATATCAACTGATGTCACTGTAATTCTTCTGACCAGAAGGTACTAGGGTTTGAGTCGTGACGGTGGCAGGATTTTCAACTCTAGCTTGTCAGCTAGGTTGAATTCAGACACTGTCTGAAAGAGTGTTTTATCAACTGGCTGCTCTGATTGGTAGTTTTCTGTGGTTTCTCCAATCAACACCAGCAAATGCCGAGGCGAACCCTAACGGATCATGTGTGATCTTTCCTTCCTCTTCTTGTCCTTTCCTCACCCCTTGCTTACCCTTACATGCACTACAGTACCATGCATGTTGGGAGACCAGTTGGGAGTTTAGAGCTTGTCCCAGCTGAGGTGATGCGTCGCTGCTGGAAGACATCTGTTTGGGAAAAATCCCACAAGCCAACGAAGGTCGTCACCGAATCTCATCTCCTCCTAAACTCACTGCCACATCCCGAGATCAAACATGCACTTCACTTATGGTACTAATGACTTTTAGCAGTTGATGCACCCAGAATTGCTTATCTATCAATCAACAATTAAAACAATGGGTATTCTAATTTCATAATTATTTTAATCATATTACGATTTGTTAAATATTATTCAGTCATTTTATTCTCTGTATTTTCATATACTGCTCTTAATTAAATAACAGTGCTTGGTTTTTAAAATCATCTTAATGTAAATATTAATACTATTATAAATAATGCAATCCACATTTCTTATGATATCAACAAACAATTGTCAATAGATACATCATGACCCAAGTATTTAATTTTGTAGAAATAATATTGCTTCTTAATATTCCCTTAATGTTGTTATAGTAATATAATGTGCCTAGTTTACACAGTAGTGTAATATGTTGACCACATTGATATTTTAATAGTATTAAAATCACCATCGTTTTGTATTTATTACAATAGTGCAGACCAATTATAATGATCCCTCAGTGATTTGAGATGACAAATCTTGTACAGAATAATGTCCATTTTGACAATGACTATGCATTATTTTTGTTTTATGATTACTGCTCGATAGCAGATATAATGAATGCCAAAGCTATAATCCATAATAGTAGTTATCATTGAATAAAAGTTGAATAATTCAAATTATTGTGTGATTCTGGATGTAAATATTGTGAAAAACTATTCAGATAATGGGACTGTAATAAAATGCATTTGGAAAAATGAATAAGACAATATATGACAAATGACAATATATGTGTACCAAAATGGTTGTGAACTTTCATTGATTAAGCTACGATTTCATTAATATTTAGTTTGATGTAAATATTGTAGCCAGTGATTTAATGTTGTGTTTTTTTTGTATCTTTTCAGTGAATGGGCTAAGTATGGCATTGAACACTTCACTACCAAAAATAGAGTCATTTGCTTTACAGTTTTGAAGAAAATTTCGCAGCACTAGATATTTTAAGTTGGTGCTTTTCAGAACGTATTCTAATGTCGCTAGAAACATATATACTTCTCGGCAGTATTTATGCCCATGTAATAGTATCTAGTCAGTTGAGTACACACTTGTTAAATTGCGTATATGTTTAGTATACTTCATATTTTTTTCATTCCAAATAATAATAGAAGATTATTTAAACTCGAACTTAAAAGTGTAATATAGGCCTAGAACAGCTGCCAAAATTATCTCAAATTTAGGTTTGAAGTCTTACACAGAAAGAGTTTTGTTGAAATATTGACATTTGTTTCCCATGTGAAGAAATAGTCAACAAATTTATTTGTGAAAGAATACAAGAATTCAGGTGGGTGTCTCAAATGCCATTTCACTGAAATTTTCATTTCTAAAAATCGTGCAATAAACATCATGTTTATTGCTTTTGAGTGAAATGCAACTTAACTTGAAGAATAAGAAGAAGCCAAAGATGACATAGTTCCCTCATAAGAGGGTTTTATTGATGCATAAAATCACCCTCAATGCATGCATGTGGAAGTCAGATCCCAAGAAGTTGTTCTATCAATTCTACAACTGCTGCATACTTGTACTGGAAATAATTGCAATACAATCGGAAAGCATTTTGTTTCAATATATATTTATGATATTACACTTCGGCAAACTGAGAAAGCTCTGAATGCCATCTTCCTGAACTGATAAAAAATTGAGTCTACAGTGAAGTGAGATAAAAAGAAGATAAATTACAATTGGGGGTAGAGGGCTATTTTTAATTATATTTCGATTGTCTCAGAAATTAACATTTTAAAATAAGTTACATAATCTGAAAAATTCTATGTGTAGATTAATCGGTATAAAAATAATCAATTCCAAGTTTTTGATTAATCATATATACAATAATTGATTGTTGTACTAAACATGATGAAGCCACCCATCCCTACTTTATTTATCATGGTTTCAAGCATAAATGCTGTGGTGAACCGCCCTGTACTAGGAAATAGTTTATACTAGGGATGCGACATTGCTGTCGATGTTTTGAAAACATCAATGTTTTTATAAAAATATCGATGTTTTAAAGCCGATGTTTTTTAACATTGGTGTGTAGAGCTTGAAATTTTTAAGTTTTCGATTTTTTTTTTTGTAAATGAAACCATACAATAATCACTAATTTGTAAGAGATGAAGTATTCACATGTAACTGATGGTTCACGGATTCATGGATGATGTTCGAACAGATTGGATCTTTATCGAGTAGAGCAGAGCAGAGCAGAGCATCTCTTGGTTGAGCGATTACCCCGATCCCCCGATGTTTCCTTTGCCTGTCTTCATATTACGCGGAGAGTCATCAACGTATGAGGCGCTATAGGCATCGGTCCATAGGCGTCCCTCCTTTTTTCCGTTCCCTTTTTGGCGAACTGAGGAAACTGAACCCCTGAGATGACCCTGATCAGTCAGGCTTTCAGACTCAGTTTGTCGTGAGGACGAGGATGTTTTAATTTTGGCCGTCGATGTTTTGTTATCTATGTTATCTATATATATATGTCCCAAGTTTACACATCACAATTTTGAAGATGATGTACATACGAATATAAAACAGGAGGAATGTTATTTTTCAAGTTTTCTTCATTCTGGGAAAAACATTAATTTGTACCACTGTTATAAAAGCTGTACTTGTAATAATTCTTTTCCAGTCCAATGGAAGTAAACTATTTAATGAACATTACCAGAGTGTATATTGGCGAGCATTTATACAATTTTCACAGCATAATTTTATATAGTAATGTTTTCACAAGCCAGGAAACACAGCTAATATATTTTCTTATTGTAGAAAGCTTATAGACTTGTTACTATGTAACAAATTGTAAAATAGTTATGTGTATCTTTTGTACATGCTTGAAATGTTCTAATGTAATGCAAATATTATTAATTCTATTATGTACCCAATACTCAAAAGTTAAATTATATCAAAACATTATTTGAACAAAAAACATTTATTACTCATCTCTAAATTACTGAAAAACTTGCTTGTGTGCACTAGTTTTTCCAAACCCAAGATATATGTATTGACATAAATTATTTTCACAGTACCTGATGATCACTGAAAATGTTAATGTTATTTAGACTTAATTGTAAGTGAAGATATTCCCTGAATTTACATCACCGGTGTAACAATGTTACTTTCTAATAGTAATGAGTCATTGCTTTCAAAAAGGTGTTTATAGTTGTGCATTAACAATAATTGGTAACTATCATCTGACTGTGAGATTATTTACAGAAAAAAGTTATTAGGCATGTTCTTGATTTCATGAATATCTTGATAATGTTCTTGAATTTTTTAATTGAAGTTTATAAATAAGATTACGATTTATATTTCTTTATTAGTTTTGGTAATGTCCACAATATTATAAAGAATGTTGTAGTATATATAGATTATTTATAGAATCTCCAGATGTTTAATATAAGGGGTAGTGAATTCAAAAAATTTGAATGAGGGAGGTTAAATCTGAAAAAAAATTAAATAATATCTACTGTTTATTTTCATTAATACACCAAATTATAAAGCACTGAATAATTTATTATATGAAAGGGTTCCAGCATGATCATCACAATTAAACTGAGTACAGTTACAATTTCAGCAGCATCTGATTATTTGCTTGTGAGAGAATGATAAGCTTATATATGTGTCATATGTTATATGTATAACATACAAATTTGATATTGGATGCTTCAATAAAACTTTTCGTCTATTTTTTTTTAATAAATGCCTAGTGGAAATATTTTACAATAACCAATAATCTTACTCCTGATATCCTTGCTTCCATTTCCTACATTTCCCAGTGTAAATTATATGTAGAGTTGTAAACGAGATAGAACTCTAAATACCTTATTATTGAGATGTTTAAATGATACATAAAAATTAAGTGTTAAAAACAATTAGTTAATGGACATGGAGGGTCAACATGTAATGACTTCTCATTCAAACAAATAATTTTGATGTTTTTCAGCATTTTGTGAAGAGTAAAGACATTCATAACAATTTTAATTGAAACCAAATTTACCAAAAAAATTTTCTTTCGAATTATCTTTGTTTTAGGCATATTTGTTTGCATTGTCACCTCTATGTAGTCCCAGGATTATACTCTATTAGAATTCATTTTTTGATGACAATAGTTGATCTGAAACTGATGGTTGGAAATATAAACAATAAATAAAATCTTTATTTCTTGTTTTCTGTTCTTCTTTATTAAATGTGCAGAACCAGAAAGATGTTTCAACGGTAGTCCAAGGGCTTGAACTTTGCTTGTTAAACAGGACTTACATTTTAGTGATTTACAAATTGATAATTTTTCCATTGTTTTATTGGTTTGCTGAGAGAAAACACTAATGTTTTGGGAAACCATAATTCAAATGAAAGATGAGCTAAAGCATTCGCATCACCATCAGGCTAGTATGCGACAATCATTAGCCATATTTGGTCAGGAACAATAATGTAAATGATTCAGAATATGAATCATACTTGCATTTTTAGATCATAAAGTATTCAGTTTTACTTACATGAGTATCTGATAAGAGATCAAGAATCTTGGAAATAAAATGAAAAAATTGTCTGCAGTACTCCTCTTATAGCCAATTTTAATTATTTTTTTATATAGTCGAGCCTATTGCTTGTTCTTCTGAGGCTGGTCATACCATCTTTAATCTTAAATCTTCCTATTCTTTTCCAACCACTCTGTGTACATTTAAAGGCAAAATGTGAGAAGCTGTCATGATCAATTTGTTTCCCTTGGTGCAATTCCTTCGTTCACGTAATATTTAATTTGCAGTTTCTGAATTTCATCATTTCTCCTACAATATTTTCTTGGTACTCCTGCCTCTTGTCTTAGGACAAACATTTGTGCCTAATTATAATTAGTTTGTGGGGTAATAAATGTTCATATTTCACTGCAGTTTAGTCTGCTTGAAAGTCACTATTTACAGTTTCAGTTAGATGCGTCATTTAGTTGTACCTTTCATAGTTCTTTGAGTTGTTCCATTTGCATAGTGTTCCATTTTGCGAGTTTGCCTTCAATTTCTTCTAAGAACTCAAGACAAAATTTGAATATCTCTGTTTGTTTTTATTGATAACCATGAATTTGCATCTTGCTAGCATTGGTTCAGGAAAGGAAAAATTTTTGATGGAAGATAACAGAAAGGTTTCCAGAAACTTGAAATAATGCCCCAAAACAGTTTGGAAACTTAATCAATTTACTACAAAACATATTATTGTATGAGGAAGTTCCATCCATCCACTGGATGCTTCATGAATTGTTAGTTTGCAATGTGTAGTAATTTAATACAAGACATTGATAGTTTTGGGTGCAACAAGTTACTTTCGAGAGTGCTCAGAACATTGTCTGGGACATGTTTTTTGTAGGTTTAGGAAGCACGTCATATGATCATTATCATTTTCTTGAAATGGTTTACAGTTGTTTTTCAAATAATAAAAGATTGTATTAAAATAATTGAATGCTCCACTACAACTATCATTCAAGTCATAAAAAAGGTACAGGAATTTAATCTTGAACAGTGAATGCCCCAAAATTCATGATAGAAAATATTAAAAGTTTTATTTAGTTTAGAATTGATCGATTTAATGAAACTTGCTGTCACAAATACGGTCAAACTTATAAGTTGTTGTTATCAAATTGTAATTATCTTTATTTTCATATTTACGATTGATACTAAGAATACTAATGAAATGTTTTTGTGAAGGAATTTACAAGCCAGGATTTGGATATCTAATCCTTTTATTTTTGGATTGAAACTCTCTTTCCAGATGAATCTTCTGCATGTATATCAACTTCTCCTGCTGTAAGAGAATCTAACCTGTTTTGTGACCACATGAAATATTCCTTGGCCTTCCTTGCCTGGCAAAAAGAACCCCCTTCAGGAATAGCATTTCCTCTCCCCAAATCCTTGAACAAATACCTAGAAAAGGGAGTTTGGAATGAGAAAAGGTAAGTTTCCAAAATTTCTGACTCCCATTTATTAGATTTGTTCCAAATATTCATGGATCCATTTATGTAAACATACATCTTCGATATCTGAAAGGTATATTGATCTCTAATGGTAAACTTTGTTGATACATAATATTTATGTGGGACGACAAATATGGATCAAATTGTTTTGGGGAAGTTTTGGCGGAATAAACATAATTAAGTGGGAAAATACCATCTAATGAACATTGATTGGGAAACATCAAAGCAGCGCACGAGTACAATGTACCTGCCAAACTATGTTGAAAGACATTCATCATTCTGCACTGAAAATACAAAATTTGAAGTTTGTTATAGATGGGATTTGCATTTTCATCTAACCATCAATAAAGTGCCATGAAAATAAAATAATATTTTAAGTAATGTTTGTTACAAGTTCATAAAGTATTGCTGCTTGTATTAATTTTTCATTAAATTTATCAAGTTGTATCTTTTACGTTTTCTTCTCAGATCTGACACCAATCTTAAAGCACAGAAACTGGAAATTTTTCTGGATAATTATTTTTTGTACATAAGCCGGAGAAAGAAATTACTTGGTTATAGAGAAAGGTTTTTTAATCCAGAAATAACTGCAGGGACTGCAGATTCTGAGAATAATAGTCAGTGTCTCTTAGAGCTTCCAGTTTCAAGACCTAAGTCATCATTTAGAAGCTTATTTTTGGATTCTTCTTTTTCATCTATTTCTCAAAGTACTCCACAAACATTATCTCCTACTCTAATTTCTACAGCAGAAGAAAATGTTTCCTCGTCCTTAAGTGTGAGAAGTCAGAGTTCAAAAATGTTGCATCGTGAAAATGAAATTTTACTTTCCACCAGGAAGAATACTTCAAAGTACGTTCATTCGAGTACTGAGGACCTGAAACACAAAGAATTCTATCAAGGGAGTTGGCATGAAGTTACTCCTTTACTTCATGTACATTCTAATCCTGAAACCGAAATTGAATTAAGGACAGGAGTATGTAAACTGGAGTCATTAATAAAGAATAATAAAAGTTTTCTGAACAGAAAAACTATTCAGTTGGGATCAGGTGGTAGAATTGGAGGCGAAGAAAGCAAGAATATAGCAGAACTGTATCATAGTATTTTTAAATATCGGTCATTCAAGGATCAAAATTCAATTTTTAAGAATTTGAATTTTCCTTGGAAAAATGAGAGTTCTACTAGTTTTACAAGAAATACAGCAACAGCCTTGAAAAAAAATGAAAGATGTTTGATACTGAATGAAAAAACACTAAAAAATATTAGACAGAAATGTGTGAAACCAAACATAAAGCATTCTAGTAAAAGTGGAAGGAAATTTTATGAGTGCATTGGTAGTTCAATTTCAAATGCTGGAAAATTTTTGAAATCTAAGTCTAAATCAACTTCCATCAAGTCACCAGACCATATTCAGTACAATCTTTCTTTACCTCAAGGGAAAATATCACGAATAGAAACATTTAAAAATGAAGTTTTGCCTCCACATTATAGACATATTTCAAAGGAAGTTTTCAGATGTAACAATTTTTTGGTAAAAGGCAATGAACATTTCTTCTCGGAGAGAGGTAACATTTATACATGTATCCAAGAAAAGAAGACATTCATAGACAAGCAAAATAGTATTGAAGATTAGAGGAGTATGTATTCAATCTTTTATGTCATCTTACACTGAGTAAACTGAAAATAATAATGAAAAAATAGGAGAACCAACATCACATGTTTTAAATAATCATTTATTAACAAAATGAGTAATAAAATAGATTCTCAAAAAAAGTACAATGTTGGATTTTATGACCAAAATAAAAAATTTTCAACTTACAAAACCCTAGGGAACCAAGGTAAAGGAAGTAACGAAAAATACATCATATATACTAAGATCAGTGAAGGTTATAAATTCTCATGTGATAAAAAAATGCAATCATGAATAAAATAGAGAATGCTTTAAAAATGAAGTATTCCTCTGAAATTCCTATTCTACTGCATAGCTTCTACAAAGTGCTAAATGGTGAAAACAAGAAGAAATTAAGCCGAGGTCTCTGAAAGTAAATTCAATCAATGATTATTAGACAAATCATGGTTTTAATGCATCAGTTAAATAGAAAAAAGCAATTAAATGATCACATTGCAAAGAGCATGGTTCTTATGATTTCTGCATGCACAATTTGCTTTTTGAGAACAAAAGCTTGTTGAAGGCATGTTGATATTAAAGTGATTTTTCTTCTTCACTGGATTTTTTAACATTTGGGCCAAAACTCAACCTAATTAATTACAAAAATAAGAGTATTTTTATAAAGCAATGAATTTCTGAAACAAATAGTATTAATTTGTTTCTTAGAAACTGCTGAAAATGTTTGAAGGTAAGTTCTAGTGGACTTCATTCCATTGCTTGCTTTGAAAACCCATTAGTTTATCGCATAATCAAAAATTTGTTAAAACTGATATTTTACAAAAATTGAATATTAATTATACCAATATGAAAAGGTCTAGGTATAATGAAAAAATCAATAATTTGTTTTATATTGTCTAAAAATATTAACTTTCATGTTGAACTGGCACATAAATAATTGCCAGTCAGTTAATTTTTAAAAACTATTTTTCTTTTCCAGAAATCACTAACTGACATTGTATACTGACTTTAAGCAAGTCTAGTTCAAAATTAGAAAGTGGCTCATCCACATTGCTTGTTTTGGGGTATTTGAAATCCTGAAATTATTCATTATGTACATGGTTTTAAAAGCCTTAAATTAACTATTTGCAT